GCCAACGTAGCATGATCAATCTTAAGAGGCCAACTAAACCATGAAAAATCCTCGGGGAAAAGAGATGGGGACGCGGGTTTGGAAAAGAAATCCAAATGGGAATAATGGGTAATTCGATTTCAACATCAAATGATGGTGTCCACTTAAAAATCTTCAAGTAACAGTTATTAACAAAGTAAGAATGACGAGCAAAAATACAGTAGTAGTCTAGGTCATTAATGAGTTTGATTAAAACATGCTTGGGATTTAGAACAATAACAAAAAATTCACCATTGAGCTTGAGGTTAAAGAAAAATTCGAATAGACTCAAGCGACGGTCTACGCAAAGGGAATTTATCAACTAAAGCAAACTCAAACGGAGCCGCTAACGCTAAAATTTCTGCTTCCAAAATCCACAACGACAACAAAGCACGGAAGAAAGCAATTTTGAGATCCAGAAAGAGGGAGGAAGAAGAACCACTAGAAAGAGCATCACATAAAGACTTGGACGAAGCTTTACCAGCCAAAAAACCGGGATCAACTAATCGCTTACCTACCATCGTCACGCCGGTCCCTGACACCGTGGAGCTTCGTCTCGGGCATATCTACTTTGTGCTGCCGCGAACAATGCTGCGACAGCCTTTACAAGCGGCGAACCTCGCGGTTCTCACTGTGAAGGTCAGCTCGACGATCATGAGAACAACGCCAGGTGGGGCAAGTGTTCTCGGAGACGCGATCCGAGCTGGAAAATCATGATAGCAGCCAATATTGATATTTATTTATGTAACAGGTTAGTGCTAAATCGCAATCATGCTCACAACTCCTACTAGGCTGAGGGAGGAGGGGAAGAAATCCAAATATCCAAGAAGAGGAACTCCACATTTTTTATTTGATGACCTAATACTTTAAGAGGACTTATTTATGGAATAACAAGAGAAATTTAAGAACTCATGAATGTCCGATGACAAACTCAAACTCTCTTAATTCTAATTACAATATTTATTTTCTAACATTCTTCATGGCTTCTTGGCTTATTTTATCATGAAAACAAACAAATCATTGTGAAATAGGGAGGTTGCACTTGTCACCTTCAAGCTCAAGCGAGGGAGGACAGTAGATTTAGATGGATTTGTTAAATCGAAAGATGGTGTGTGGATGTTGGTTGTCATGAACTTGGCATATGTGATGGAGGCAAGTGAATGAGTCAAAAATACATGGATCTGAAAAGAATGGATAGGAGATTTATCGAGGTAACATTTGTTGGATATGATATATATGAGCCCTATGATGGTGGATTTGGAAACGAAATGTTTGGTGAAGATGAAGCTTGCAGATATGTTGTACATTGCTGAATCTCTAAATTCTAAGATGAAATTTGTGAATGATATGTCGATGGTTGGGGAAGAGTCGAGAGAAGCTGGGATATAGTGATCTTCATGAGATTTAATGAGCATTGGAATTGGGGGTGATGGGCATAGTGAGACCCAAAATAGGGTTGTAGGAGAGCTGCAAATGGTAAAATCATAATGAGTGCGATATCTCTGCTAGATCTAGGGCATCAATTGTGAGATCTAGAGGTTGAATTTTGAATTTAGGTATTTTGCATGCTGCTTGGACAATCGATAAGGTTTAATACTATGAAAAAAAATCAATCTATATGTGATGCATAAGAGGCACAAGATGGCATATTTGGATGAGGGAGGTGGCACTCAATGGCAAGAGGCTCAATGAGAATATCATTTATTAATTAGGAACAAAACTCCAAAATATAGCAACCACATAAAATAGTAAACATTGCATTGAACAACGGTAACTAAATAATTATAAGGGATTTCACATTTTGTTTTCATGCCTTAATACCTCTAAGAGGGCTTATTTATACGATAATATGATAACCTGAAGTCTCATTACTCATAACAACCTAAATCCCACTAGTTACTCATTATAATCTTTATTCTCTAAATTTCCTCACAACTTCACATTGACCTTGTCTTCAAGGTTAAGCAAATCATGTTGATCTAGAGGCAACTCTAATCGCATGAAAGCTTTGGTGGGGGAGGATGGAAGATTTTGGTAGATCGATGAAATTAAAGAATAGATATGGATGGTGGCCTTCATGGAGATGGCATTTGTGAGGACTTATTTATACACTTCATGCAAGTTCATCATTCATGATTGAAACTGCTGATATTAAAATATTTGAGATTTAAAGAAGGGTGAGAGTTAAAGTAAGGTAAAAATCTAAATTAACTTGAAAAAAACTTTGTGAAGTGGAAGATTGCCTAAATAGTACGTGGATGGATTGAGCTTACCTTCTTGAATATAGAGAGCGATTTTCAAGGGCACAATTCCTTGTTGGAGATGCAAAACCACCTTTAGATAGGAAAACCCTAATTTTTTTGTCCGCGTGATTTCGAAATTGAAAACGACACATCAGGTCACGCGGTAGCAAAAATCTCCACGTTGTTTGGTTGGGTCTTCGGGTTGCACATTAGTAGAAATATCCATGTGGCAGCAATAAATAATTTAATTTTCAACCTTGGATGGACATAGAGCTACTCACGGACTCCGCACCAAATAATTTCCCCAAAGAGAGTAACATCAGATAGGAACAAAATTCCAACAATAAAAAAGCAGTAAAATATCATATTGAAAAAGGATACAAGGCAATTTGAACTTGCATACATCTCTTAATTGAAGTGGAGAAATTATTCTGTGCGGACTCCAGATTGGAAGAACTGTCTGGACTATGAGTATACACACATTATATATACAATATGCTAATGTATGTCAAAGTTGTATACACACTGTGTACAGAATGTGTACATTCATATATCCGAATAGTCCTTTTCGTCCAGACTCTGCATAGAAGAATTTCTCATTGAACTCGGGGTAAGCCTAAACTCCAAAAAAAGATGTTTCACTTCTTTAATTTCATGCCATAATACTTCTAAGATGATTTATTTATATGTTCAAAAGAGAACCTAAAGACTCATTAATGCCTAATAACAACATAACGCTCACCAAATAAACTATAAAATATCTATTACCAAATAGACATCCTCCATATTTTTTTTTTCAAGCAAAAATCAGATCTTAATATTTGCAAGCCACAAATAATGCGTTTTTTGAGGTACTGTTTAGTGTCACAAATCCCATGCTAAATATTTTTTTAGTACAATTATTTTGAAAAAAAAAATTTAACTAAAAAGTTATTTTATAAAACATTAAAAAAAATGGAAAGGAATTTTGTATAATTATTTATATATATTATAAAAATTTTAATTGATAAGTTTCAAAGGAGATCAAATTATAATTTTTTTCTTTGTCATGACAACTAATACATCTTGTTTCAGAAATTAAATTTATGAGAAAATCCATTAATTCAATTATAGGATTTAATAGAATTTTTATTTAATTAATTCTATAAAATATAATTTATATAAAAAATAGGATTTAAAATCTATTAGATTTTATTTGATAGAATTTAAGCTAGAATTTAGCTAAATTCTGCCCTAAATAAGGTACCAAAAGCGTCATCCAAGAGTTTTTTTTTTTTTCTTAGAAATGATGAATATTATCCACCGCTACTTAGCTCGGTTGGGAGCCCCCCATCTTGAGTTCGATTCCCTCGGGCGACTGTCACCCTTAAGTGGGGCCTCTAAGCACCAGCTGCGGCTATTATAGGCGTGGGTGGCTCGATAGGTATGTCGGGGTTTACCGACCACCAAGCTCACTTGGCAAGCCCGGGCGTGGCAGCAGACGATTCCTCGTCATAAAAAAAAAAGAGTATCAAAATATAAAATTGATTTTTTATATAAAAAAAAATATAAAGTTGATATACCTCGAATTTAGGCTTTGTTTGGGACAGTATTTTTGTTGCTTTTTAAAATAGCTTTCTAATATTAAAATTTCTTGAATTAAAAAAATTTATACTAAAAAGTCGATTTAGGAAGCTGTACGAAAGCTGTCTCAAACAAAGCCTTACAATCAAAGTTTTTATAATAACTTCCAAAAATTCAATCTCAAAGCCCATCATTGCCATCATTGATTGCCACTCACAATTGATTCATTTTACTCAAATTAAATAAAAAAAAAAATATCATCATTTATTTAGAGTCATCAAATAATTAAAATATTTGAAATAGTTATATTTCTCTTGCACTCTATTTTTAGCAGATTAAATACCCCTAAGATTATCTCTTTGGTTGGCTAAAAAAAATTCATGGTAAAAAGAATGCTTCTGTACTTGAAATGCAATGGAAATTATTTAAAAAATGAAAAATAAATTATGGTTATTATTATTATTTTATTTGGTTATTATTATTATTTTATTTGTTTGAAGTAAAATAAATCAATTGTAAAGTCGGCAAGTGGTGGCAGCCGGTAATATTGGCGACGATTAGTGGTGATTGCGGACGGTGGTTAGTAGTGGCGGCCTATGACAAAGGGGCGCTGGTGGCCAAAAATTGCAGTGGGTCATGGCCGGTGCCTAATGACAATAAGGGTTGCCAATGGTGGTGGTTGATTGCGGTTGAACAACTTTTTTGCACTGAAAAGAGAATTCAATCAAAGTTTACCATTCATAAAAATGAACAAAAGAGTAAAAAAATGAATATAGTGGAACTTTACACTATATATTTTTTCAGCCACTCAAACACCAATATTTTTAAAACTCGAAATTCTTTAAATCCATTGTCAAACACCTAATTAATTGCCAACCACCAGAGGCCAAAAGACTCCTATATATATTTCTTATCCATCACCAGCTCATATACAAATCATCAAACGGGCAATGGAGCCTCAACTAAGCTCCTTCCTCACAAACATTTCTCTCCCTCCCCTTCCCAACATCCTCGCGCTTCTCCTCCTTCTCTTCATCCTCTTCCTAATAATCAATAAACGTTCTTCTTCTTCTTCGCCTTCCTCCTCCCTCCTCCCTCTCCCACCCTCCCCTCCCTCTCTCCCCATCATCGGCCATCTCCACCTCCTCTCCCTCCCTCTCCACCACTCCCTCTCCCGCCTCTCCTCCCTCCACAACAACTCCCCCCTCCTACTCCTCCGCCTCGGCTCCCGTCTCGCACTCCTCATCTCCTCCGCCTCCGCCGCCGAGCAATGCTTCACCAAACACGACCTCACCTTCGCCAACCGCCCCACTCTCCCCAGCAGCCAGCGCCTTTCCTACAACTTCACCACTCTCGTCGCCGCCCCTTACGGCCCCCACTGGCGCAACCTCCGCCGCATCGCCACGGCCGAACTCTTCTCATCTTCCAGCCTCAACTACTTCTCTCATGTCATCACCGAAGAAGTTGCTTTTCTGATAAAACAGCTCAGCGGTGGAAGCGGGTTTCGGAAAGTGGAGGTCAGGGAGAAGCTCGATGAGTTGGCTTTGAATGTGGTGATGAGGATGATGGTGGGTAGAAGGTGTGATGAGGAAGAGGGGAGGAGGTTTCGGTGGGTGGTGAAGGAAGGGTTTGAGTTGGTGAAGGAGAGCAGTGTGGGGGACTTCTTGCCGTTTTTGAGGAAGGTGGGGAATGTGGGGAGGGAGAAGAGGATGGTGAGGTTGGAGAAGGTGGCTGATGAGCTTTTTGAGAAGGCGGTGGAGGAAATGAGGAGGAGGAGGAGGAGAGGGGAGGAGGGGGAAGAGAGGACTATCGTTGGTCGCTTGTTGGACTTGCAGGAGGAGGACAGAGAGTATTACACTGATGAGATCATCAAAGGGGTCATATTGGTACTTCCATTTAATTAATTCTTTTTTGATATGTAGAGTTTTTTTTATATGTTTTTTATTTTTAGAATTTTGGATAGTAAATTATTGAGTTTATGGGTTTAAATGAGGATAACTTAATTTATATTTTTATCAAGATGAATTAATTTTATCAAATTTAATTTAAAATGAATGTAATGTAAATTTTAATTTATTATATATATACAATTTATTTTTTTTCATAAAATATTGTATTTAATTTCATAGATATACTTTCTTTGGAACAGTAAATTACTTGAACTTTGTTTTAAGGGCCAAATCCTTTTTGAGAAAATTAGTTTTTTTTAGGTAAAGAAAGCAGTATAGGTTTTTTTTTTTTTTCCACATAAAAATATAAATGGGTATACTAGTATTTAATTTTTTTTGTCTTAATATCATTATGGATATTGACTTTTTGAATAAATAGAACATAATTATCCTTAAAAAACTATAGTATGTCAGAATGGCTCCCACAATTATAAAAATTTATGAAAGAAATAATAATTTAATTTTAATTTATTAAACTATAATTTTCTTAAAATAGCAATTTTTATGAGTTTCTGATCTATAATTTTAAGAGCATACAAATTAATTTATAAAACAACTCACATTACATGTAAAAATGATACTATTAGTTTATATAAATTTATTAAAAATATAATATTAATACAACTATATATATATATATATATATATATATAATATATATATATATATATATAATATATAATATATATATAATATATATATATATATTAATCACTTAAAATTAATATATAAAGCTGTAAAGCAACGTTGGAGAACATTAATAACTTGCTGAGCTGTACTATTATCTGTTTCAAAGTTTTTTCTTGAGACGCATGTGATGCTACATTGATAGATTGCTACTTGATATTGCTAGTTATGCATTAATTGGTGAGGCACAGAAGAAGCAAACATAATATGGATTTGTTTTATATATATATTAGAGTATTCTATTGTTGGCTTTTTATGGAAATTTAAATTTGTATTAATAAATCTCAGGTTTAATAATTAATGATACATGATTTATCTCATAATAAATTTAAAATTTTAAGGCTTATAATCATGCCTTTCAATTGTTATTATATATCAATTTATACTTGTTATATATATATATTAAGATCTTATATATTGTGTTCGAACAGACTATGATAGCAGCAGGAACAGACACAACAGCTGAGACACTTGAATGGGCAATGTCTCTTCTCCTAAACCATCCTCAATCATTGCAGAAAATTAGATCTGAAATAGAACTACTTGTCGGCCATGATCATCGCCTCATCCAAGTCTCTGATCTCTGCAACTTGCCATACATCCATAGCATACTCAAAGAGACTCTCCGCCTCTATCCTGTCGCCCCTTTGTTACTCCCTCACGAGTCCTCACAAGACTGTACTATTGCTGGCTTCCATGTCCCACGAGGCACCATACTCTTTGTCAACGTCTATCATATTCACAGAGATCCCAATATGTGGGAAGAGCCTAAAAGCTTTAAGCCGGAAAGGTTCATGGAGGGTGCAACTACTGGTTTAGGATATAAGATAACGATAATGCCATTTGGGATGGGGAGGAGGAGTTGCCCAGGAGAAGGATTGGCTATGAGGCTTATGGGATTTGCTCTTGGAGCTATGATTCAATGCTTGGAATGGAGGAGGTTGGGGGAGGATGAGGTGGATATGGAAGAAGGTGCCGGGATGACAATGCCAAAGGCTAAGCCCTTGGAGGCCTTGTGTATGCCAAGAGGAATTATCGTATGAGTGGTCACTTGTTCGAGAAATTATTAGTAGTGAATAAGAGAGCAACTGATTCAAACCTCATATATATACTAATGCATACAATATATTGATTAGTTAGATGGATGTTGATATGATTCTGATCAAGAAGTTTTATGCAATCAATTAGGTTGTTATACATATATGCTTGCATATAATATGATGATTAAATGTCCTTATTAGTTTTATCTATACTTAATAATATCACCACTCATTTTAATTTAATAACTATTTCACGAATAGGTAAAACTAATGTTCATATGATTGTTGGTATACAAGCATGCATTTATCATTTGGCTAATTAGTCAGAGATTACTACACAATAATTACATTAGATATTAAATAAATTTGATTGTTTATGTTTTGTTTGGGATAGCCTTTTTAATACTTTCAAAATAAAAAACGTTTTTGGAAAACAATCCTCCCAAATGAAGCCCGCCGACAAATCAAATCTCATATGATTGATTTTCTACCCTTCCTTCCATTACTTATACTGTATAGATCCATCAAATCACCACTTGCACCTAACTAAATACTTAAAGGAGCTTCCACTTGATAAAATAGAACTCTGAAAGAAGCTCTTCAATTATATTCTCTTAGTTCTTCTTCTGTCAAAGGCAGTAGGGCTAAGGTTCATGTGCTTGATTGGCATGTTTAGAGCTACAGCAATGTCATCAATTCATTGTATTAATAGGTTTCTATTCCACCAACTGCTGGAGTTATTGAGTGGTAGATTTAGATCAAATTAATTAAAGAAATGATGCAGTTCCCATTATGATGATTGATGAATTGGTTGATGAACTGTTTAGTAATTATGATTCAATTTAAAAAAGTAAGCTACACACTATAGGCTCTATTTGGGGCTCTTTTTTGTTGCTTTTTGAAGCGGATTTTTAATAAAAAAATATTAATTGAAAATTTTTTTATATTAAAAAATAGTATAAAGCTCATCCTAAATAAAGCCATAGTGATTGATGGACTGTGCCTTATTTGTGTACCTATCAAACCATTATTTGCATTTAATTAATTAAATTAATGAGCCATCATAGGAGAAAATATATTTGCATTTTTATTTATTTGTTTCTTTATTTTATGGTTTGACAATTAGGTCAGGCTAATTAAAGTTTCGTTTGAGCAATTTTTATATTATCTTTTACAATAATTTTTTAATATAATTTTTTTTTAAATTAGAAATTTCTATAATGTAAAATTACTTTAAAAATAGTAACGTTTGTAATAATTTTATATTTTTAAAAAATTTTTGTACTGAAAAATTTTTCATAAAAAAAAAAAACAAAAAAGCTGTACATCTTTTTTTTATTTTTGGAAATTTAGGGGCAAAGCCCATTTCATTGATAAAGCAAACTAGTTACATGTGTAGAGAAAAAAGAAAAGAGGTGGAGTAAAAACACCCTAGATAGACTAAATAAAGAGCCTCAAAATTTTACACATGTCAAAAGAAAAAACCCAAAATAGTTGGAAGCTGTGGTAGTTGGGCTCAGGTTCAAAATCAATTGCTGGAGCCAAAAATACAAACTCCTGGTTGCAGGCAGTGCCATCCAGAGCTATTGGTTGCAAACGTCCGCCATCCAGGGAGCGGCCAAGGCAATTGAACATCATTGCCCCCAGATCCAACAGAGAAAAACTGTCTCGACAGAATCCCAAAAATACATCCAAACATGCATTCACTCGAGCAGGCATTGAACAAAAGATATATCCAGACATATAAACCCAGGAATACCAACTTATAATAGATTTTGCAATAGATAACCATCTCTCCATTTATAGACCTTTGTCAGAATAGCATTTTTAATCTTCAGGCATACCGTGGTAGAGCTAGAGGCAGACATGGCAAATCTCCTTTCATTCCTTTCTCTCCAGATATAATAAATAGTGCAGCAAATAGTAATGAAGTGAAATCTCTTTGATTGAGTGGTAAGATTGGGATTATCATTAACCCAATCAAATAGCTGCATCAAATTTGGTCTAAGAAGAATCAAGGCACAGTCCGGAATAAGTGCAGTAATGATAGAGTGTGAAAAAGAGCAGTAAAAAAACACATGAGCAGAGCTTTCAGGATAGCAGTGGCAAAGAGAACAGCAAAGCTCCACCCCATGTTTCTTCTGTTAAGCTCCAAAGCCGATTTAAGACCTCCCACAATAGTAAGCCAAGTATAAACCGAATATCTCAAAATATGTTTCTTGTGACAAATAAAACAATCCCAAGAACAAGCAGGTAACAATTTATAGAAATCATGAATAAAATCTTTGAACTTAGCATTTCTACCAGTGCCCCAAACCAAGCAATCAGTGTGATTATCAATAATGTTAACTCTGTTAATAGCATTCACAGTAACAGTGGGTAAGCAAAGTGGGGGCTGCCAGGAACCATCTACAATAAAATTGCTCACTGAAAAATTTTCAAAATTGGCACCTAGAGGGCTTAAGTCCACAATCCGACTGTTGTTGCACCAATAATCCCAAACAAAAGAGAAAGGGGAGAGAGGGGTTACTATAAGGTTCCATTTATCCTTAGAGGATTGAGCAGTTAAGCAAAGAGATTTCCAAAAATTTGTAGCCTTTGAGTCAGCCGGTTTCTAAGGGGAGGTGTAGCGCATTAAAAACCAATCAGCAAGAGGGAATTTACGAGTATAAATCCTAAGGATTAAGGAGCAGTTATACCCATACTGGAGAGCAGGGATACTAGGAAGACCAATCCCCCCATATCTTTAGGTTTACAAACAGTGTCCCAAGCAACAAGATGAAGCTTTTTAGCAGCAGACAGATCACCAAAAAACAAAAATTTAGAAGCAGCCCTTCTAACATATTTTATAACAGACTTAGGTATAATAGATCCCATAATCCAGTATGCTATGGAGTTTAACAAAGTGAACTTCATAAATTGTAGTCTTCCCACAAAAGACAAAAGATTAGCATTCTAACCAGACAGTTTCCTTGTAACATCTTCCATAAGAGGGGAGAAATACGCAATTTTAAGCCTCCTGAATGATATTGGAACCCCAAGATAAGTAATGATCTCTTTAGGAGACAAGCAAAGAGCCCCACAAATCGTATTATCATTAATAAGGTGCTTGGGAAGCATAAGGGAGCTCTTGTCCATATTCATGTGAAGTCCGGAAGCCTTGGTGAAGCAATTAATGATTTGCAATAGGTGACTATAGTTGGAGGAAGAGGCTTCTCCAAAAAACAAGTAAGTTATCAGCATATAGCATATGGCTAATCTTAAAATTTTCAAAATGAGCACCCACAAAAAGATTATTATCAATAAGAGAGGAAAAAGCATCCATCACAATACAAAAAAGATACAAACTTAAAGGACAAACCTGCCTTAAACCAGTCGTAGAGGGGAGGTACCCCTCAAGCGCCCCATTAATAATAATAGAGAAATTTAGATCAGAAATGCAAGCCTTAACCCAGGTAATAAATAAGTGTGGTATACCTTTCTGTTTAAGCCTTTCCAAATTAAAGTCCCTGAAGACAGTATTAAATGCCTTACGTATATCAAATTTAGCACAAAACATATTTTTCTTCCCTTTATTAGCAAAGGAGAGTAGTTCTTGAGCAAGAATGATGTTGTCCTTGGAAATTCTGGATTTAATAAATTCAGCTTGAGTATCTTTAACAATAAGAGGCATGATGGGCCTTAACCTTGAAGCAAGAATTTTGGATATAATTTTATAGATCACATGGCATAAGGCTATAGGTATAAAGTCTGCAAAAGAACAGGCATGTTTAGTCTTAGGAATAAGAGCTAAAGTCGTAGCCTTAATGCCAGTAGGAATTTTGCCCTTAATAAAAAAGTATTTAATAGTCTTGCAAACCAAAGGACCAATAATATGCTAGCTTCGCTTGTAGAAATGGTAATTAAAACCATCAGGACCAGGTGACGAAGAGGCAGCACCATCAAAAACAAATTTCTTGATTTCATCATCCGAGACAGAGATAATGAGAGAAACAGCAAGAGAAGGTTGCAAAATGTTACCAATGAGGAAAAGCTCCATATTCATGTCCTCAATAGGAATTTTTATTGGGTCAGGTAACCTGATGTACATCAGGTACCCAATAAAAAAATGCCACATGCACTTTAAACAAAAAACACTCAGCTTTAAACAAAAAGTAAGTGCATGTGTCATTTTTTTATTGGGTACCTGATGTATCTCTACATCAGGTTACCTGATCCAATAAAAATTCCCTCAATAGGGGAGGGATTATAAAGGCCATGAAAATGATTAATAATCTCAGTAATAGCATCAGACCTTAAAAGCTGGGGGATGTCCCCAAGTTAACCACATCATTGCTATCAGAGGGAGAGCCAATTAGAAATTTCGATTGAAAAATTGTCTGGCTTTATCTTCTTTTAATTAATATATTAAATTTGTGTGCATATAAGGCCAAGTCAGGAGTTATGGAGTGCAGGATTTGGATGAGAATGACAACTTTTTTCCCTCTAAATTTTAGATCGTTGGTCCAAATGACTTGATAGGGGCAAATTATTTGGTCCCGTAATGGGACCTAAATTTTCACCTGGATTCTCTGCACTTTTAATGATTTTTTATTATACTTTTGATGTATTTTTGAAAAATGACATTTAATACATAATTTTAATTGTATATTAGCTACTCTTTTGATGTCCTTTTACCGAGTATTTAAAAAACGCAATAAAAGCATAACAAAAGGATAGCAAATACTCAATGAGTAATATATTTGTTGTGCTTTTACTTTATTTTTGCAAATACTCAACAAAAAAATTGATAAAATGCAATTAAAATTGTATATTAAATGTCTTTTTTTTTCAAAAATATATTAAAAACATAGTAAAAGCGCATTAAAAGAGCAGGGAATCCGTACGAAATTTTAGGTCCGATGACCGGACCTAATAATTTGCCCTTGAGAGATTGGCCTAATACTTATTTCCTCTTGGCTCTTATGTTTCATTTTGGGATTATTTTTTAGTGCTTTTAAAGCAGTTTTTTAGTATAAATTTTTTTAATTTTTTTTAACTAAAAAGCTGTTTTAAAAATGATAATAAAAAACTGTCTCAAGCAAAGCTTAAGGCATCGTTTGGGATGGCTTTTTTACTGCTTCTTGAAGTAGCTTTCTAGTAAAAAAATTAATTTTTATACTAAAAAATTGCTTTAAGAAGCAAGAAAAATGCCGTCCCAAACGAAGCCTAAATCCCATACTTTTTTCGGGCCATATATCCTTAATTTTCTTAAGATATCCAAGAATTCTTTCAAAAAAATATCCCTTCGTGTGCTTCTTCAGACAAATCCCCTAAATTCTTCAAACTCCTAGATTTAAAGTAAAAAGAAAAAAAATATAAAATTTATTTTACCATGACATTTGGTTTTCATTTGGGATAGCTTTCTTATAGCTTTTTTAAAGCAGCTTTTTAGTACATAAATTTCAAAGTTAAAAAATTTTTACACTAAAAAATTGATTTAAAAAATAGGAAGAACCTAGATATTTTTTTTAGTTTTATTTATTTATGTGGTCGGTGAAATAATAAGGCATAAAACTCCCCCACTCGCCAGTACCGCATATATTCTAGTCTCCGATTTATCAGAAAATGAAAAATATGGAGAACCATTTTCCAAATTCAATATAACATGGAAAACAATTTTCCACATTCAATGTGAAAAATAATTATTTTCCATATATATAAAATAATATTCCGCTTTCATTAAAATGCGGAAGTGTTTCACTTCCATGCATTCTATTACACAATTTAAATCAAAACTTATTTAACTTTTTATTTAAATAATTTATATTATATATTTCTAAAACATAACTAACAATTTTTATTATAAAATTATAGATATTTATCCTAATTTTTATATTATAAGATAATCATGATGGATCTACTATAAAAAATAGGATAAATTTCTATAATTTTATTTTAATAAATGTTATTATTATTATCTATTTATTAATCATATTTAAAAAGTAATTATTCATTTATATAACTCATATATGATTCGAGATTTAATTTGAATTTTAATTTCAATTTTATATTAATCTAAAAAGTGAAATTATTAAAAAAAATTTGAAAAATAAAATAAGATAAGATTAAATAAATTTAATTAAATTTTATGTAAATATTACTATCATATTACATTTATTAGTTCTGTATAAGAAATTTATAATAAAAATGCATTAGTTATGTTTAAGAAATATAAAATATAAATTAGTTAAATAAAAAGTTAAATAAATTTTAATTTAAGGTTTATAATACGTAAAATACTATTCTGCATTCTAATAAATGCAGAAAATTATTTTCTATATTTATTAAATATTTTTTTGGGGAATTATATTTATTAAATATCTAAAAAATGGAAGAACTGATTGACGTATTATATGCTCCTAAAAATAATTCCTTCGACTGATATCTGCCACTGTTAGAAAAATTTCTCGCCACTGATATCTGCCACTGTTATCTGCTACTGTTTATAAGTTCGCCACTCTCTTCCCATGTCCATGGCTTCCCAAGAGGCGCCGCTTCTCCCTGCCGACGACTCCGACGGAAAGGTCATCATCTCCGTCTCCGACGAAGAGTGGTCGGAGGTAGAAGCGAACGATGGGCTCGCGCCCCCGTTCTCATGGCGGAAGCTATGGCGCTTTACCGGCCCAGGGTTCCTTATGTGCATTGCTTTCCTTGACCCCGGAAGTCTTGAGGGCGATCTCCAAGCCGGAGCCATCGCTGGATATAGCCTCCTCTGGCTTCTTCTCTGGGCGACGGCGATGGGACTTCTTATACAACTTCTGTCTGCAAAGCTTGGCGTGGCGACTGGGCGGCACCTCGCCGAGCTCTGTCGTGAGGAGTATCCACAGTGGGCGGGAATCGTGCTGTGGGTCATGGCGGAGCTTGCGCTTATCGCCTCAGACATCCAAGAGGTTGTTGGAAGTGCCATCGCGATTAGGATACTCAGCGGCGGGGTTATACCCCTGTGGGTCGGCGTCCTCATCACTGCCCTCGATTGGTACTTTCTCTTACCTAATAATTTTTCAGTTCCTAGCTCTTCTTTGTTGTGGGAAGTTCTCTTTCAAGGGAATTGTTCATTTTGTTCTTTTAATACAGTTTCCTTTGCTATGTTTTAGAGTTTAGTCTTATGAATTTGCCGTGCTTGCTCTTTATGAGTGTTAATAAAACGATCTTTTCCGATATAATCAGGCATCTTAACTTTCTAAGAAGATGAACACTGCACATACAACGTGAAAGTCGCGGACGAAGCAGAACAGAGAACAGAACAAAATTCTTATAAACTCAGAAGGATACTAATTTCTTCCTCCTTCAACCTCAAACGGAAGCTGCACGAATAACTAACATAAAAGGCAACAGTTAGTGGAAAGCAAAGTATGAAACAAAGATGCATAAAAATAAAATGTTATAATAGAGCCCTAAGCAGCTGATAAGTAAGATGCTTTGCATCAACATATGTGATAATTTGAAGTAGCTAGAATAGTTAGCTCAGTTCACTTCTAGTTTCTATTTTTAGGACTTGGTCACTGGAACATATTCCTTAAAACCAGCTCTGCATTTCGTGTTGATGCATTTATAATATGAATTTTCATTTTGTGTTAGATTATATTTGATGAACCTTCACTGATTTTTGCAGCTATGGATTATTTTTTCTGTGCTATTGATCCTTTCTGTGGAATCATATCGTTTTGTATGCTTGAGTTGTGTGTTATATATATTTATTAATAAGCTTGTAGAAGTGAACTGTTTAATTTGATCTTCTTTTTCATTGGTAAATTGTTCGCTTATGCTAGCTAATTAGAATTTTTGCCTACTATTTTGTTGACAGCTTCATTTTCCTCTTCCTTGAGAGTTATGGTGTGAGGAAACTGGAAGCTTTCTTTGCGGTCTTGATTGCAACCATGGCCATTTCCTTTGCTATAATGTTTGGTGAAACTAAGCCCAGCAGGAAGGATCTCCTTATTGGTAGTTGCCTTTACCGAGTAAAAAAAAAATTTAACTTTCCTATGCTCTTCTCCTAAGCACCTTTTAACCCGCTTGCGTTTTTAACTGGCCATGATTTTTTTTCTTCACAGGTTTGCTGGTTCCAAAGGTAAGTCCTAGTACCATAACCCAAGCTGTGGGGTTAGTAGGGTGTGTCATCACTCCCCACAATGTTTTCTTGCATTCTGCTCTGGTGCAGTCTAGAAAGATCAATACTAAAAGGAAAAGCTGTGTCACAGAAGCAATTAGATATTACTACATAGAATCAGCTGCAGCTCTTACTATTTCCTTCGTTATCAATTTCTTTGCTACCACAGTTTTTGCAAAGTCATTTTATGGAACTAAAATAGCTGGTGGTATTGGCCTTGAGAACGCAGGGCACGTTCTACAAGAGAAGTATGGGGCTGCTTTGTTTCCCATACTCTATATCTGGGGGCTTGGGTTATTAGCGTCTGGACAGAGTAGCACTATTACAAGCACCTATGCTGGACAATTTATCATGGAAGGATTTCGTAATCTTCATATGAAGAAGTGGATTCGAGCGCTTATTACTCGAAGCTGTGCAGTTGTGCCAGCAATAATAGTTGCTTTATGTTTTGACTCTTCTGATACTACAGTGGATGCTTTGAATGAGTCACTTAATAGCCTTCAATCAATCCAGGTTCCTTTTGCCCTTATTCCACTTATCAAGCTAGTTTCAAAGGAGCAAGTTATGGGTTTCTTTAGAATTGGTTTCATTCTCAAAGTAAGTCGTGAATTTAAATCTTCAGCATCACAAGCATATAAGTCCTCTCTAGCATGATTGTTTATCTTTGTCCGCCTATTTGTTACCAATTATGAAAATTTCTTTCTGTGCTTTATTGCCAGTGTCTATTTCCTTGTGGTTCACTCAGCAGCAAATCAGAAAAATAATATGCTTCAAAATGAGCAATACCTATTAAAGAAACATGTTTTTTTAATTACCAAGTGAGTATCAAACTATCCGTAACTAGTCTTGAAAGGGCTAGCTTGCCTGCTTTAATTGAGGGTTTTGGGGATCAGAATGGCTGCCATTGTGCAAGTTTAAATGGGAAAGTCACGACATGATAAAATGTTCATACCACAGGAGTTTTACTTGCATTTTGGTAAGTAACGAAGTCCAAACATACTTTGGGCTGCTATTGTTTTCTGTTTGTTTCAATTCCTTGATCATGTTCAGATGCTCCATACCATCTCTATGTTTTCTAGTATTTTTTGCTATGATACATATTGGAATTCGTTGTATCAACATCATTGTCCTTAGCCCATCCTTTCTGTGCAAGTCATCTTTATGAATCCCTCCATTCATCCGATTGTGTTGCAACAGAAGAGCTCAAAACCTCTCTTTGAGAGTGTTAAAGAAACAAATCCAATTAATCTAGGAGAAAAAGAAACTTGCCCTCCATGCATAGATATGATTAAGTAATAAAATAACTACAAGACTAGAGCACGATTCATGCGATTCAATTAATATTGACCTGCATACAAAAAATTAGGAGACAGATACCCAGCCAACCTATTTCACGTTATCTCATATGTATACAGTATCCTATATATAGACCACCTGAGGGTGTAGCTACATGTGTAAAGAGTTTATAGGAGAACAAATATACATTAGACAATGTGGTATTAATTAGATTTAATATTTTGTGTTGATAATATGGAATATTGTTGGAGTTGCCTCGAATTTAGATCGACTCTTATTTGTTCATGTCCTTGGCGTTGTACGCTTCACAGATACGTTGGAGGTCTAAGGGGGAAGCGCCCCTTGATGAGGTTTGACCTAGATTCAAAATTATTCAGTGACAAAATCAGATAATCTGTCTGAAACTCTTATGTAGATATTATTTGTAGAGCGATTTTTGGCTTGACCTCCACCACTAGCCTTCTTCGAAATAGTACAATCTTTTTTCAAGTGGCTATTCTTTTTGTAGTTCCAATATACAACTTTTACTCTATTTGAAATAAACTTTTCTCTCTTGGATTTAGATCTTCCTTTATTTGAATTTTTGTCCAAACCACTTCTCCAGTTTTAACATTCAGAGCAGAATTTGAAGATCCATTAACCCCCCCTCCCCCCCCACCCCATCCCCCCCCCCCCCCCCCCAAAAAAAAAAAAAAAAAATACATTAACCCCACAATCTCCTTAAAATTCAACTTTGAAATTCTTGAAGAATTACTCACAATAGTGACCAACTCATCTCAACCATCTAACAATAAAAATAACAACAACAATGCCTTCACCTCATTATCTAACATGATGACAATTGAACACAACTAACTCATCAAAATATTCAGATTATTTAGGCATTATGCCATTGAATTGTTGTCTAACATCTTCATATTGAATAATTTCTTCATCAAAAATACTTTGTTTGAAACTGACGGTTTCTCATACATCTTAGTTAGTGTAGTTATGAGATAGAGTATTCTCATTTATAATGTTGAAAATAATATATGAGGAAAGTGAAAGAATTATTTAATCTGTTACTAGTCATTGAATATGGTTTCTTGATAATTCCATCCAGCGATAAATATAACTTCTTCCAGTATAACAAATATTCAACTTGTATCTTCCAGAATGTAAAGTTTGAGCTGTTGAACTTCTCAATCTTGTATCTTGTTTCGTCAATCTTTACTCTCACTCGAATTGAAAAATATGGATTTGATACCAATTGTTGGGAAGTAAATCACGCAATGAACACAAACAAGAAAGAGAAAATACAACAAAAAGAAAGAATGTCAGGATTTAACATGGAAAACCCCTAAACTGAGAAAAAACAATGGAGCCACACCACACTAAGATATCCACTATAAATATTAAGAGAAATAATACAGATCTCTCTTCTCTCTTACTCTCTCATTCTTTCTTTTCTCTCTTATAGCATTCTCTCACGAGAACTAATAAAGAGATATGTAATAAACTACAAAGGGACGTAACCTTTCATGAAAAAGGAGAAATAAAATTGCTTAACCATCTTGCAGCGTCAGGTTTGGAGCATCGCAACGCTCAACTCTCAGTCTCCATTCTGTCTGACAGTGCCACAGTAGGATCTAGAGCTCCACGATGCTCCACTCTATGTCTACCTCCAACCAGACAACACAGCGTCGTAGCGCTTGGGTCCACTTGAACCCAATCAGGGGGAGGAACCCCTGCAACCCCCTGGCGAGCTTGACTAATGGAATTGAGGTCTTAGGTAGCAGTAATCATATTCCACATAGAACTAACATATTATATATGTGATTAGGAGTTCCTTGAAGCTTGTACTGTTGTGAGATGGTTTGATAATGATGGAGAACGTGCTATTGATTTTATCTGTACGGATTTCTTTGTTTTCTTGGCTTGATTGATGTTGTTATCACCTTGTAATAATATGACCATGAAACCAATATATGCCTTCTCAAACCCACATTCTGATTATGCTAAGCTGTCCTTTAGATTTTCCACTGCATTTTGTCCATGGAACATTAGTTACCCTGTGTTGGAAAATAGGTGAAATTTAATTCAAACATCTAGAGCAAAAAAGAATTAAAAACATAGAGGAAGATCTAGGCAGAAAATTTTAATTTAATTCAAACATCTAGAGCAAAAAAGAATAAAAAACATAGAGGAAGATCTAGGCAGAAAATTTTATACTTTTTCTTTCAATTAGCACCTGCACGCCAATAAACGCAATTTTAGCAAAAGCTATATCTTGCATAATTTGTTCTCATACATGCAATTTATGGTTTCTTATGTAGACTCTGGCTTGGATTGTTGCTGCTTTCTTGATAGCCATTAATGGCTACCTTCTGGTGGATTATTTCTCCAATGAAATGCAAGGACTGCTTCTCACCTCCATTATTTGTGTATTCTTGATGCTATATTTAGCTTTTGTCATATACCTTATCGTTCGTGATGATTCTCTATCAGTATTCCGCAAGAAATCACCAAATCCTACCACTTGACAGCTCCATTCATCCCTTGAGATTGTGATTTCAGATACGTTTATTGGCAGCCAAAACAGAATTATATTAATATTCTCTCAAGCTTTCAGTACCAGATTATCTACCCATTCTCCAAGCAGCAGCTGCTAGGTCCGTTATCTGGCCATTGGAATCCAGAGAAGAGCCACTTATTTGAAGAAAGTTAGGCTTCGTTTGGAATGACTTTCTTACTACTTCTTAAAGCGACTTTTTCGTTCAAAAATTAAAATTTTAATGCTAGAAAGCTGCTTTAAGAAGCAGTAAGAAAACCGTGCGAAACAAAGGCTTAGTAACTTACAGCAATGTGCAGGTTTTTTCTTTTAAATTACATGCTTCTTTTTGCAAATAATAATGAACTTCTCTCCATGTTGGGATAAGGCTAATGAAGAAGAAGAAGAATCAACTGCTCTGCATCTTTTGATGAAGAAGGTTGTCTTAATTTTTTGTATGTTTATGGCATGAATTATTGAAATTAATTTAATAAAATTGTAATTAGATGAAATATATTAGTATAAATTTTGAGTGTTGGGGAGCAAAAATATTAATGATGATATTATATATAATTAGTACAAAATTAAAAATGATAAATTGATGAATTGTTATGTCAGAACTCAGAAGTATTGGGATAATATTTATTAAAGATAGGATAGTTAAAATATATTTAAATGATATACATTATATATATATATATATATATATATATAAACTAATATATAACGCCATTAATAGAATATTCATAGATTATAGATATATCAAACTGGTAAGTATACTAATCTGATATGTTAATTAGCTTGCATTTATAATAATTATAAGCATCAGTTAATTTAATTTATAAAAAATAAAAAGTCATGCTTAAAATTTTAAAATTAAAGATCTGTTTGAGATAGTTTTTTCAGCAATTTGATTTTGAGATATCAATTATATTTTATTTGACTATTTTTTATTGTTGATTTTTTACTATTTATCAAAAAAATTTATATTGAATAGTTGCTTTTCATTAATAAAAAATAGATGAGCTATTTTTTTATAATAATTTTGTAACCAATTTTTTAAAGTGTTCCAGTGAGCTTAAAAAGATTATTAAATTTCAGAGTAATTATTATGTGTGGACACTGAATAGAGACTAATATTCTGATTGATCTTCAAACAAAAAATTGCATATAATTTCTCTAAATTTCGCTTAAATTAAATTCATATTTTAGCATTCAATTAAAAAAAAACTCAATAATCGAATTACATTTCATATTATTTCGGATCAGGACGACCTATTCACAAGCTAAAGCGAGGCGACACATTCCAATCGGATCAGCTGCTGCTTTCCTTTCGTAGCAGCTAATTCTATAAGTGGCCATGCTGGGCCACTGGCCGGCTGCTTGCCAAAGCGTCGACATCGAGGACCTCTGAACCGAAGCGGCACTGGGCGTTCTCCGCGGAATCGGCACGCCGGAACGAAAAATACCGGTGCCCTTCGCTTTCTTTCTGCTTCGGCGGTGAACATGGATGGCCTCTCTCTCTTTATCCTCTCCCTTGCCCTTGTCGCCAGCGAGATGGTTAACTGCTCTGAAATATACTTGCGGGATTTCGGCGGAGGGAGCCCCTCGGCGCCGATTGTGCTGCCGCTCTCCCTGTCTTCCGCCAATCACACGCTTCGATCAGCCGAGGAGAGCTACCTACGGAGGCGGGGGCTAAGAGACGGAGACCATTCGATCCACAATGCCCGTATGCCGCTCTTCGATAATCTCCTGACCAACGGGTGTGTATTTTCTTGGTTTTTTTTTTTTCCGGCGAAGAGGTTCTTGCTTATGCGTTTGTAGTTTGTTCTGATAATTTGCTGATTTGATTTCAGGTATTATACTACTCGGCTCTACATCGGGACACCACCACAGGAGTTCGCGCTGATTGTGGATTCAGGGAGTACGGTTACTTATGTTCCGTGCTCCTCCTGCGTGCAGTGCGGCATTCATCAGGCAAGGCGTTTATTTTGTTTTTTAATTCACTCTTATTGTGGCTTCTTTTGATCAGGATAATGGATAGTTTAATATGATTTTGGTAAGACTGGTAAAGAGCAGTATAATTTTATTAAACAAACCGATTCTTTATATCATTGCCCAATAACCCATCATTTTGATCTCGGAGTCTTCGAAACTTGAATTGTATTATAGTGTAACTGATGTGTTCTACTGTTTCTGTATTGCAGTTAATTATATCCTTTTTAAAGCTGTACTGAATATTGAGGTTCTTGTTTCAATCTGTATTTTTTGGTTTAGTAAAGTGTCAAGTGTCTCGGCATTGAGGAGCATGATGCATTGAGATTAAAAATGATGCAACTATGATTTTCCATTCCTTTAGTTTTATAATCCTATCAAGTGACACGAATATGACACAATATGGATACCTAGATACATCATAATTATTTAAAATGATATATGAACACTATGGTCACAGTTTTATATATTTTTATAATATTTATATTAAATATGTAATTTTTAGCATTTTCTGCCAAATAATATCATATAGATATACTTCATATAAGAAGTTTAATAATAAAATAAGAAAAGCAAATACTAATAATGATAAAGCAAAAGCTTATAATTTGTTACAATTATCAATTTATCATTTGTTAACAAAGCCCCAATAATTGCATTCAATCATTCATTAGTCATTTTTAGTTATCAAGTATTTTGTCAATATCAGTATAAAATGTCAAAAATCATTAAAAATAGTAACACCAATGTCCTCTTCAAAATAATCAAACAAAGTATGTCTCGTCGAGCATATTGATGATGCATGACTAATTAGAGTTAACACACTCAATGTTCAAACTACGTAAGACCTAGAAAAAAGTTCACTTCATCTTTATTATTTTTGCCGAAGGAAAACGAGCATTAGAGATAAAAAAATGCATAAAAAACTATCTTTATATCTTTATTGTAGAGTTTCTATTACTCGAAGAATGTGGCAGGGCTGGCAACACAAGCACGCCACAATGAATAGGAAGGGAGGCGAAGACTGTAGAAGCTTGGTTGAAATGGAAATACTTGTTGAAGGGGAGACATGGGGGCATGCTTAGTCTAGTGATAACCTAAAAGGACACATTTGAATTGCTTAAACATTTAAACTACCTGAATTTTTTGCATGTTTATCGTAGAGGTAATCTAATATTCATTGCTATCTATTCTATCTCAAGATTCTCTACATTTATAACTCTTTGTATATCTCTCTTTATACTTAAACTCCTCGTCTTCATGATTTATTGACTCTAGATCCTGAAACTTTTGCAATTACATTTAATCTAATATATTTCCTACCAAAATTTTATTGTTATTACAAACATTGATGCTCTTTATGCATTGCCCAATGTTAAATTTTTATCAAAAAAAAAAAAACATCTTTCACTTGTAAATAAGTGGCATTCATCTCTTCAATCAAGGCACAAACTCACCTTATTGTATGATATCTTAAGGTGCTCACGAAGGCAATATCTTGGTGATGACACCCACCTTAGAGATGTGCAAGGTGTTATGGCCTCAACACTTAATATTGACGCTTGCCTTGCTGACACCGGACCGGAGGGGGCTCGACGAATCCACATCGACGATCCGGTGGCGGTTGCCGGACACCACTCCAAGAACTCCTTCTTGGAGCAAGAATCACCACCTAAGAATAATCTTAGGATACAGAAATTCACAAGAGTAAAACTACTCAAATGTTATTCATATCTCAAAAGCTGCCCTTACAAGCAATAACTACAAGTATTTATAGACAATTAGGCAACATAAAAGGCTATATGCCATAAAAGAAAGCACTACTCCTATACATACTTATATCTACCAATTGGAATTAAAACTAGCCTGAAGTTAAACAGGATTGATCAGCTCAGCTCCGGCGTCATACTACCGGGGTAGGAGAAACTTCATGCTCATAAGAAGATGTTCGGTTGGCCACCATAAGGAGATGGATTTGGTTGGCTAAACTGATCAGGATAGGTCCACCCAATGTCCATTTGTCTACCAACCTTCGATTTCTTAAATGTAGCATAAGCAGATTGATTACCCTTGCTTGGTGCTCCAATTATTGCGCCTTCTGTCGTCCCAAGACCAACGGCTCCCAGAACAATACAATGCACACTTTTCTTGCATTATGCTGTGAAGATAGGAAGAACATGGTCTCCTTCCTTGAGTTCAGTAACACCCCATCCATCATGAACACTTTCAAATGCAGAAATCATGGTATCAACATTTCCACTGCATTCGACACTTCGGTCGACTCCACCATTATTCTTTTCAGCAATAACCTCTTGAATTGGCTTGCTCTTTTCATCTTTATCATCTATGGGTTTCTCCAGATCAAGAACTCCACCGAACATGTCATCATCATACACGTCGTACACAGGCTCATCATAGAGAGGTAAAGACGATGATTTCGGCAACGGATCTTTAAATTCTTTGAAGCTGAACTCGATCGAGGGTGGAGTGGAAGAGATCTGACCATCTAAAATGCCCTCGTCGTCATCGTCTGTTCGTAAGGATTCAGTTGGAACGAAGGATCTTGAAGCTGTCATGGGAGCATACTTGTCCCATGGTCGAAAGCCATTAACGCCTTGGGGAGTGCTTGCGTCTGTCCTTCGTTCAAGTCTTAACAATCGTCGTTTGAGTTGAATAATTTCTTGTTGAAGATCTTCTATTTCTGCGTCTTGAAGTGGTTGTTGATAATTCCGGCGAGGTGACATTTTGTCGAGGAAAACAATCACCACTTAGACTGAACGGTATGAGTGGAAACCTTCTGGATAAAGCAATCAGCGAGCGAGTAGACCACAGTTCTTCCTCCTTCCAATCCACTATCCCGTGGTTCTAGCTGGCTGGCTGGAAGGCACGGAGTGCAGCAAGAATCGGACAGCACCTGACACGGGACACCGAACAAGCACAACCGATCTCAGCCAGCAAGATCAGCAAGATCTTCAAAGCAAGCAATAGTTTCTAAGGGAGATGGGATGGACGTTCAGCATTGGGCGGCGAGAGAAATAAAACAGAATGAGAGATACCATATGACGGAACGTCGGGATACATATTTTCTTTCTTAATACAGATCAATGCATAATACAGAAATTCACTCACACATCCATCCTTGTATAGCTAAGCAGTGGAAGAAGCTTTGCCTCTTCTTGATAGCTATTGGATGTTTTGGCCAGAAGTGAAAATTGGACAGCAGCAAAAATCCAGTGATTAAAATATCTTCCCGTTGTTGTCTTAAAGTCCGCACATAAGAACAAAGAGGTGGTGGTCGAAAATGTTGTTCTTGATGTCTTTTCTTGTTTCCTTTGAGCTTTCTTTCTTCCACCGAGACCGATTCTCCACCGAAGCTATTTTGCCACCGAAGACAGGTCGCCGCCAAATGTCGTCGGCGACGGAAGCGACACGGCGACGGACAAGAACGCCAGCAACTTGCCGGCTCTGATACCAAATGACACCGGACCAGAGGGGGCTCGACGAATCCACGTCGACGATCCGGTGGCGGTTGCTGGACATCACTCCAAGAACTCCTTCTTGGAGCAAGAACCACCACCTAAGATTAATCTTAGGATACAGAAATTCACAAGAGTAAAACTACTCAAATGTTATTCATATCTCAAAAGCTGCCCTTACAAGCAATAGCTACAAGTATTTATAGACAATTAGGCAACATAAAAGGCTATATGCCATAAAAGACAGCACTACTCTTATACAGACATATATCTACCAATTGGAATTAAAACTAGCCTGAAGTTAAACAGGATTGATCAGCTCAGCTTCGACGTCACTTGCTTTGGTTCAGGTTCACTAACAGTACAACTGTAAAAGAGTGACCAAAATTAGTGGTGCCTCTTCCAACATGATTAATATGAGAAGTTGCTAAAAGTATGATTCAAATATAAATCCTTTAACAATGGATGAATGGAGAAATAATATAAGAGGTATGGATGTGGGGATAACTCATTCTAAAGCCTAATTCTACATGCACACCTAAATGAAAAAAAAACATTAGTATATACCATTGGAATTTGTAATGGTTAATGTACAAAATAACACGTGCTATAGAAAATTGCGCGATGCTGCACACTCTTTCCTCTTCTAGCATGACAAGGTGTAGAGTTATGAAATGGCTTGTGCTATTTTTGTCGAGCTCTTTCCATTGTGAGAGTTGCTTGGTGCTCTCCATAAATGTTGGCTATTATTTATGTTGGCCTTGTTTTAGACCCGTTTAACTTACCAAAAATAATGCTTGAGGAGACATTAGGTTTGTGTTATAAGACTCAAAGATTAGGTAGCAGAAGTAAAATATTAGGCATTACAACTTTGAAATCTTACCTTTGGTAAACATTTATAGCTTGAATCTATGACTTGGATAACAACTTTGAATTTTTTTTTAATAATAATAACAACAACAAATCTTTATCCAAGTATGTGGGGTTGGCTACTTGAATCCTTCTTCTATATTATGTCATGTTAAGAGTCAATTTCTCATCTAAATCTAATAAAGAAATGTCATTTGTAATATTTTTTAACCAGGTCTTTTTAGGTCTAGCTTTACCATTCTTAACATAAGTCAAATCTAATATATTTACTTTCTTAACCGGGTCATCGAAAGGCCTCCATTTTATGTGACCAGAACATCTAAGGGGACTCTCTCTTATAGTATCTTCCACTGGAGATACTCCAACCTTTTCGTATATGCTCATTTTGTATCCTATCTCTAAGAGTAAAGTCACTCTTCCACCTGAGCATCCTCTTCTTTGCAACACTTAACTTAATATTATGCTTCTCTTTTAATGGCCAACATTCTGCGCCATAAATCATTGTAGGTCTCACTACCATCTTATAGAATTTCCTCTTAAGTTTGAGAGAGACTTTTTTATCACACAAAAAGCCCTATGCATTCCTCTACTGCAACCATCCAACTTGATTTATACTAATAATATCCCCATTTATTTCATCATCATTCTGAACAATAGACCCAAGATATTTAAAATGTGTACTCTCATTAATGACTTGATAACCCAAAGTCACAATCCCCCTACTAGATCTATTATTACTAAAATTGCACTTGATATATTCAGTTTTAGATCTACTCAAACGAAAGCCTTTAGACTCTAAGGTTGACCTCCATAATCCAAGTTTACCTTCAACTCCCTCTATATACTTATCGATAAGAAGAATATCATCAGCAAAAAGCATACACCAGGGTACAACCTCATGCAATTGTCTAGTGGTAACATCCATATTGTCTTCTTCTTTCTTTTTACATTCTTCTCTTCTTCCTATTTTCTCACTTCAGTGAAGTCATTAGGCATCAAGTATGGCATCGACAATAGGAGATGGTGACTCATATTATTGAGGAAAGTTTTTCACTCTGCTTTCTTTTCTCTCTTTCCTTTTTCTTTTTTTCTTTTTTTCTTTTTTTTTCCTATTTCCTTTACATGTTTTCTATTTTGCCTTAGTGTCTTCACGCCTTTTATATCTTTCTTCCTTTTTTGACCGACTTCTTTTAAAATTTCTTTTAGCCTTCAACCCTTCATTTCTTTTTTTTTTTTCTATTACTCGTAAGTCACCTATATGTCTGCAACATTTTTTTAATTGGTTTTCTTTGTTTTTTTTCTTTTAAATGGTTTATTTTATTGTTTTTTTCTTACTAATTTATTCATTATTTAAAATTTTGTTAGGAAAATTGAGTTAAATTCATAAAGTGTCTTAAGCTAATCTTTTCCATATACAAACAAGAAACATAAAGACATATTTTATACATGCAACTTTTGACACTCTGGGATATTAGGAGGGTTTGATGTATGCAATCTTCTTTGTGCATTTCGGAAATACAAATCACAATGTCTCACGGTGGAATGCTCTTATATCTCTCCTGCATTAATGAGAAGATTTCCGGAAATTTTCCTATGTTGCTCCATTTGCAAAACTTTGGACCGCTGTCCAAGTGAAGTGTATTTTTTGTTTTGTTTTACTACAGCTTATATTCTATCTTACCACGATAATATAATTACTTCATCGATCTTTACATATCAATTACAGCAGCACACTTTCTATTTGTGTTACCTGATTTTTTTTTTTAAAATCCGTCAAGCCTTTGTTCTGTGAAAAAATGAATTGCAATGAGATAAAATTTTATTTCTTCTCTCCCTGTCCTCATTTCAAAAAAACGCATTCAAGTAATTTGACACCATATCATACGGCATAATCCATTAATTATAAATATAATACGTGAAAGAATTCATGGGAAGCTTATTGTTAGCAGGATGTTATAATTGTTTGGAATATATGAATTGGAGTTATATAGAATCCAATCATGTGATAAGATAATGATTTGTCTAAACCTTAAAATATTTCCTGTATAATTCTCAAGGCATTATCTGGAATTTTTTTTTTCTTGGGGTCATTTGATTTTATTTTTCTTAGAAGTGTAAATCTACTATTTTTCTGGCGTGCAACAGGGTAATGTAGTATGAATAGTATTTCACATTTGTATCATCAAATTGATTATTTGTTGGTCTACTATGATGGAATTATTGATGATAACTTTCTGTTCTTTACCTGTAACCTGTCTTAATGATTTGTTTTGTTTACGTTGGTTTGGGTCATTTTCACATTTTTGCGCTCTCAACAATGCAGGATCCAAGATTTAGGCCAGAGCATTCAAGCACATATGAGCCAGTTAAATGCAATATTAATTGCAATTGCGATAAGAAGAAAATGCAGTGTACTTATGAGAGGCAGTATGCTGAAATGAGCTCCAGCAGTGGGCTGCTTGCTCAAGAAGTCATATCATTTGGTAAAGAAAGTGAACTTATGCCACAACGAGCCATTTTTGGATGTGAAAATTCTGAATCTGGTGATTTGTTCAATCAACATGCTGATGGTATTATTGGGCTAGGTCGTGGTCAGTTAAGTATAGTTGATCAACTTGTTAAAAAGGGTGCAATTAGTGACTCATTTTCGTTATGTTATGGTGGTATGGATATTGGGGGTGGTGCAATGGTTCTTGGTGGAATACCTCTTCCTCCCGGCATGGTATTTTCCCATTCGGATCCTACTCGTAGGTACGTTTAATTAGCTATTTTAAGGAGAAAACAGAATACAGACTCTTTACAGATACAATTGATACGTCTCCCACATTTACTCTAGTCTCGGGATGGCAACAGCCCCTATTACAATATTGAGCTGAAGGAAATACATGTGGCTGGGAAGTCCTTGCACTTGAATCCGAGGATCTTTGATGGCAAGCATGGAACTGTCTTGGACAGCGGGACAACATATGCATACCTACCACAAGAAGCCTTTATAGCATTTAAGGATGCGGTAAGTTATGTGTCTTAGTCTTACATAGCCATATCTGTGCATATTTTTCTTGACTTTAAACTTTAACTATTAACTAAACACTTACGTGAATTTAAGTAGAATTTTGGTCGCAGGTTATTTAGAATTCCTTATCCATATTTTCTTTCGTTTCGATACAATTGTGCTAAGCTAGAAAACTTGTTCCCAGATTGTGCCTGATTATTGAGTATTTTCTCTCGGAATAAGCAACTTTTTGACGCAAATTTTTCCTTTGTGAAAATGTTTTTCTAGTGGTGCTTGCATCGGTTGCTATACTTCATGCTGGTGTTGTTTAAGCGAGTAATGGAGGATGCAGAGGGGGAACACTGGCATTGCATCAGCAATACCAGCTGTTGCACTCCCTGAATGATACCCTCTTATGTAGAGTTTCCAGGTGGGGACTTGCTTCCCTCAAGTGCTCCATGAGTGGCCTCTTCTTATCGCGTTGTAATGGGTATGACAAGATCGTTGGACCTCTGCTGGAGCAATGGGACATCATCCAGCCCTTGTGGCTGTTTCTAACTATTTTCTGGTGCTCCCCCCCCCCCCCCCGAGTGGTATCTATACTTTCTTGCTTATATGCATTACAAATCCATAAAGGAGCCCAATTTGTCACTTGAGGGGGTCCTTTTTTTGCTCCTTTTTGTTTGTCCCTTTACATGTAACATGTATGATTTAAACTCTTCCTCTTTTGCTTTTTTTTTGTCTTAGGAAGAGTTAGTTTTTTCCTGTACTTGCTTGTAATTTCTTTACTTTTTTAATGAATGCCAAATGCAAATTTCAAGAATGATACCTGATAAGATAAGAAATATATGAAAAGTAGAAGAGGAAGAGCAAAAATGTCGAGTAAAAAAATTCCGTTTTACACCATTATAGTTCAGCCTTTTTTTTTTTTACCATTATAGTTCAGCCTTTGCTTTCTGTTGTATTTTTTTTTTCTTTCTTTTTAGAGTCACATAACAGCAATAACAGCTGTTGCAACTTCCTGAATGATACCTAACTTGACAAGAAAAATATAGAAAGTAGAAGAAGAAGAGCAGAAATGTGGAGTAGAACATTCCGTTTTGCTCCATTATAGTACAGCACTTGCTTTCCGTTGTTGTATTTTCTTTTCTTTCTTCTTTTTAGAGTCACATAACAATGTTTAAAATTGCTTATTCGGGTATTGAGGCGTTTTTCATTCGTGAGGCGAGGCGTAAGCCTCAAGGCGTTTTCAGGCGTAAGCCTCAAAATCAAAAGATTGCGTAAATATAAAATGATAAATTTTTTATATATTAATGAGTGAATAATATAAAACATAAAAAAATATAAGATATGAAGTGAAATCAAAATATCTCAATAATAAGACAACATAAAATATAGTTCAACTCAAAATATATCTTTCCGAAAACCCAATATTCTTTCAATTAACATATAATTCTGATTTCCAAAAATAAATAGCATGACATATCACATAAGAATCCCATAAGTCATTAGGCACTGTCGATCAACTAAGGGGGTTCCTTCAATTTGAATCATCATTAGTGAAACTGCTCTCTTCTTCCTCCTCTCTATAGAGTCCAATGTCAGGCATTTACTTTAAGATTTATGTAAGTTTTAATATATATAGCGTGAGGCGTAAGCCTCATGCCAGTGAGGCGAGGCGGTCCTCAAGGCGGGCCTCATAAAAAAAACTCGAGGCGTAAGCATCGAGGTGTTTTTTACTGGAATTGCGCAAAGGCGGGCCTCAAGGCGAGCCTCATATTGCGCAATTTTAAACCATGTCACATAATGAGATGCGCTATGGGTAGCAAGATAAACGTAACTTTATATTTTAATCTCCAATCAGCTAAAAAAAAAGCTCAGATATATGCATTTAACTTTTTAAGTTAGCCAAACAAAGAGATAGGAGTAGTAAGGGTTTAGTTCAAGTGAAGTGTATTAAGGATGAAGATCAAAAAATACTTTTCTTAGAAGATAATATTCAACAAATGTGGATGAGATATTTTGCTAAACTTTTTAATGAAAATTGTGAAAATAAGATTGACTATAGTGACCTTAGCACCCTAGATGCAAATAAAGATTTATGTTTTTATCGGCGTATTAGTAAAATCGAAGTTAGAGAGGCTTTAAAAAAAATGAAGGGTGAGATCTTCTGGCCGATGTTCCATCAGCGTTGGCATCAAATGTTTAGATGACATCGCAAAGATGAGTTGTCAAGTTGTGGGTGTAGAAAAATTGCTTGCGTCGAGCATTAATGTCCAGATAGGTCAGACTTTGATGTTGAAGAATGGTTTGAAGGTAAGATATTGGTAACGAAAGTCAGACCGTCGAATGTTGACATGACATCGGACATTGTTGTTATAACCAAAATTGGCAAACCTCCAAATGAGAAATGAAAATGTTGAATATCTGATGAATAAATATTGAGTGCGAGCGATTGATTTCGGTTGTAGAGAGAAAAAATTAAAAAAATTAAGTTTTTAATATTTTAAATAAATAAATTTTTAAATACAAGAAATTAATATTAAAAAATATTTCATAAAATATGTAAGACGCATGTTGGACCATGTTTGTCAATTGTATTAATATTTTTTAATCAGCACGTGTCAGAGTATGCATTGGATGTGTATCATGTTGAATATGTAAGACATTGCACGCCTCTTATAAGGATAAGGTGTCTGTGCATCATAGGTTTATATTAGTTTTTCATGTTCATTCGAGCTTTCTTGTTCCGGTTCAACACTTGGTTTCGTTTAAATTGATGGATGCTTATGTTTGTTTTGTGTTTTGTTCATGTTCGGTTCATTTCGTTCTTATGAGCGTTAAACAAACAAGTCTATCAAGCTTTTGTAGAGCTTACTAACAAACATGTTCACGAACATTTCTAGCTATTTATTTTTGAACTACAAAACTGAGCCTATTCATGAACATATAATGTGATGATTTGGGGTGCCACCAGAAAAGATGTTCGTGCAACAAATTAGCAAGAGTTTTGACATCAAATAAGTCTGTTCACAAAACATCTAGCGAGTTTCAATAACTACCAAAACGAGCTCATTCACAAATAAATGAATATAAAATTTCTTTTTTAACAAGCTTGTTCAAGCGAACATTTTGAACAAAATAAAATTGATGATAATAAACAATCATCCTGAGGGAAAAGAAAAAGATGATGTAAAAAATGGCCAACAATATCCTCAGAAGTTAATTCCTACAACATATGTCAAACAAAAATATTAAATGAAATAAATTTAAAAATTTATACCTCCTTAAAAATTAATTTCATGAATATAATTAAAGCCAAGTCAAACACAATAGGTTTTTTGTCAGCTCAATTTATCAATTGGCAAAAGAAAAATGGTAAGAAATATAAAGCAAGATCATATAACAGTCGAAAAAAATAATTCAATTCTTAACATAAAACTGTTTGTATCTAATATTAGGCAAGAAATCTGTAACTCTAAGAGCAAGATCGAGCTTTTTATTAAATCGTAACGAGCCTTTATCGAGCGTGTTCATCGAGCTTCTCGGCCGATGTTGTTCATCGAATAGAATGAAGTCAAAATACATGTTTGTTCAAACTTGTTTTATTAAAACATCGAGTTATTCAAAAAATGTTCAAACTTGTTTGAATTAACTTAATAAACCGATCAACAAACGAGTTTTTGTCGAGCTAACCTCGGAGTAGCTTGTCAAACGCTTAGTTCGTTTTGCAGCACTAAGCTCACAAGTTTGGGAGGGAGGCAGTCTCCAAGTGGCTATAATCTCGGGTTCCTTCAACTAGCTGTAGGTTCCTTGCCATAAAACAATAAAAAGTCAGCATGAATTAGAATGTAAGAATTTGGCATCATGGAAATCTTTGCTGCTCTGTTGTGCTCAGATTTGACGACCATTTAGTTCAATGTTTTAAACTATTGCTATGGTGTGCTTATGCTTCTGCATAGGGGAAAATTCAGGTGTATGGAGCTATTGGTTTCCTCTAGCCATTCATTTTATCTCTCATAATTTAAGGGCTGCAATTTATTGTGACTAAATCAAGAACCAAATATCTTTCAATTGTCTGCTTGGGCCCTTGGAGTTTTGCTTGCTCTTTGATCAAATTTAATTTCTATTCGTTTTCAGACTTTTCTCTGCGAATATATAATGCATTTTAAGCCTGTTTCAGTGAAATTTCCATACAAAATATTTACCTTACTAATGTAAGTGTTAGCAATTTTGTCTCATTCCGCCAAATTTATTTTAGAATTTTAAGCTTTCTGTAAGATTTTACATTGTTAGCCATGGTAGAACAATGGAGGTGTAATTGTAGGCTGGCTTTTGTTCTATCCATGTTATGCAGGAAAACTGGAAAATTAACGTCTTAACAAAGTATGAAGTGTGAGAAAGTTATTCACAATATTAAAAATAATATCTTTCTCTTTGCAATTAGCCATTTCAGGTTTTTTCAGTGGACTTGGTTATTTTCTGATATTTTGATTTCAATTTCCAAGCTTGACGAGCAGCTTGGTAATCTACAAAAAGTAAACGGTCCAGATCCAAACTACAAAAGATTCTGTTTTGCTGGTGCTGGAAGGTGTTGCTATAATCCAAACCAATGAAACCTTTATTCCTGCCTATCTTTTACACATAAGGAATACTAATTTTTATCCGCTTACTATGTTTCAGTGATCCATCGAAGTCTTTCCCAGAGGTTGATATGGTATTTGAAAATGGGAAAACACTGAAACTCGCTCCTGAAAATTACCTTTTCCGGTAATGAGATTTTTGGTGATGCGTAATATATACTACTGGATGTATTTTTGTCACACCTTTTGCTTCTGTTGATTCTAGATCAGCTATTTTCCTTGTTCTGATGTATTTTCTCTTTTTTTTTTTGTGCTGCAAGCATTCCAAAATTGATTGGGGCTTATTGCTTGGGAGTTTTTCAGAATGGAACGATCCACACACCACTATTAGGGGGTATGTTAACTTTTTTTTTGGATTTGTTTTCACAGCACCTC